AGAGATAAAAGTCATATGACAGGGAGGAGGGGAGTGCTCACTATCAAAACACTTTCTCGTTCGTCTAAAATGAGCTTTCGAAAACACCGCCGAAGACTTTTTACCTGACGCTTTTATCGCCTCGTGGCTTCACGACAACGTCAATGCCTGTGAGAAAGAGTCTTCAAAGGATTTGACAAAATGATCGCATCTTGTGATGAACCACATGTAGAAGGGAAAGGTAAAAACCATCTGGACAGTAATGGACCCGTTGGGAAGTTGAAGGGAATGAAGTGCAGCGTCCGTCGGTCCGTCGCGCCTGTGATCTCACCTGAGTCTGCCTGCGCGAGCATGTCGCTGCCAGGCGTGATGGACGCAGAGGGGTGAGTGGACGAATCCAGGCTCAGGATGCATATTTTTCAAAACGGTATCATGACATAATCAGGTTAAGCCATTAGAAATGAATCACTATTAAACATGACCACCAGCCTCCTGAGGTGACAGTAGAATTAGGTCTAATATAACGTAAATATAAAAGCAATTCTATATATAATTCTAAATATAAAAAGCAATTGTCAGGCAAGACCGTAACATTTATTGCCTGGATGGATGGAGGTGATGATGGGGGATGACATAATTTACTGCAATAATTTCAACACAAGATGTTGAACAAGAAGTGTCGTGTCAAAATTTGTAACCAGTTCTGCTACTGATTCTATTAGAATCACAAAGTATAAATTATGAAAAAAAAATGTTTTAGTATATCCAGTAGAATTTTGTCTTGTTTGATGCCTGTAGGGTTGATTTCAAATTATGAAATTATGATTTTTTTTTATTTGCCACATTTTGTTAAATGGCTTAAATTGACATAAATGAAATATGTCTTAATTAAAATGTGAAAATGCAGAAGGGCTTGTGTGAGTGTTATGTTTAGGGGTAGAGAATAAAAAATTAATTATGATATAATACAATAACTAGGTCGAAATAAAAACAACAGATGTCCATGGAAATCCCTACTATTGTAAACAAACAAATTTGTGTATTTTCTGACACTGTTATCTCTAGCAATCAATTTAAATAGCATTTTTATTGTATTCAGAGGAAAGTAGTTAACATATAAAACAGCTGGATGACTGTCTGGAATCACTGGCTTACTCAAAGGTCCTCGTCTTGTCAAGTGATAGTCAAGTGATTTGTTTTCCTACCAACAGATGAAGAATGGCTTTTTAGTAATCCTGAGAGCTATAGAATCTGTGCTGTGTAGAACTATATGATTCATGCTAACAGGATTAGTCATACTTTAGACAACAGACAGCATGGTTGCTAGCTGAATTCAAAGCTCTTTTAGAGTCAAACAAGACTCTAGATACAGTAGGTCTAAAATGTACTAGCAGCTCACCCTCAGGCCACCCTGGATGTAGATGAGTTTGAGAAATTCAGCATTACATCACTTGCTCACTAATGGATCCTCTGCAGTGAATGGGTGCCGTCAGAATGAGAGTCCAAACAGCAGTGCTTGATCTTTGTAGGTTTCTCTACTGATTCAGACAAGATTACTTTTTTACTAGAGATTTCAGATAGAGGGCTTGTATTTTAGCTGGAAGCAACGGTTTGAAGTTAAAAACATCTTAATGATGGATTTGTTTCTTAAAAACAGCTTTTCACTTCACGTGACGTTAATTGATGGACAGGAGTCATGTGGATAACTTGTGGTTTATTGTGATGAACCTGACGGCACCCATTCACTGCTTTCACTGGATTCATTTATGAGCAAGTGATATAATGTTAAATTTCTCCAAGTCTGTTCTGATGAAGAAACAAACTTGGGTTGAGCGTGAGTAAATTTAAATTTTTGGGTGAACTGCTTTGTTTTTTTAAATGTTTATGAATATAATTTCAATGGTATAAGATTTGGCTATTTCAATTAATCAGCTTATTTTAGCAGCTTTGTTTTTTTGTTTTTTTTGAGTAAGCGATGTGATTTTTCTTGATGGCCTTGTAGTAATCTGTTCAGTGGGTTTCTAAAGTAACTCAGATCTGCACCTATTAGCATTCATGAGATCCAGTCACATTTGAAGCTTAATATTCAGCAACACACCCTAATCTTACATTACAATGTGTCACGAGAGTGTGATGCAAATGTGACCACATCAGTCATTTTTAAACACATACAACATGATTCAAAGTCGGACCAGCTTTCCAGCACAGACCTTCAGCAAACGTGCTTCAGTGTATCTTCTGCTGTGCGTGTGAAGGCCTCTCATTTATAAAAAACATTCCTCTTATTCGATGACATTAGACATTGTACAAAGTGAACAAATTACATAATCAGCTCTGTAAGAAGAGGATAAAGCTGATATAGAAGGGGATTAGAGGTTGTTTTGTTTTGTGTGGACCCTCAAACTCTCTTGGCCGACTGTGTCAGCTCATTGTGAAATGCTGAATTGCTAATGCGATGCGAACATTTAGGTTTGTCTTGTTCTCTGTGGTGTAACGTATTCCTTTAAAGTGATGCAATTAAAAGTTGGTATTTTAAAAATGATGACACTCTGTTTGTTTAGTCGATACATTCGTTTAAACTGTATTCGTTTAATACTAATGTATTGGCTTTCCAATCAATTGTATTTAAGGACACTGACGATATCAGCTGACATTCCTTTGTAAGCAAGTTATGACATGTGACATGTGGCCAAGTATGGTGACCCATACTTGGAATTAGTGCTCTGCATTTAACCCATCCAAAGTGCACACACACAGCAGTGAACACACACAGCGTGAACACACACCCGGAGCAGTGGGCAGTCATTTATGCTGCAGCGCCCAGGGAGCAGTTGGGGGTTCGGTGCCTTGCTCAAGGGCACCTCAGTCATGGTATTGAAGGTGGGAGAGAGCGCTGTACATTCACCTCACCTACAATCCCTGCAGGTACGAGACTCGAACCCGCAACCTTTGGGTTACGAGTCAGACTCTCTAACCACTAGGCCACAACTTCCCCCTAACTTATCAGTTAGCAACTTTAAATGGAGATGTGACTGGGGGTGTTTTTAAAAAATTATAATAATAAAAACAATAGACTTACTTCCAGTGTTATTGTAGAAACATTAAGATACGATCATAGTTTTTTATTCAGTTTTTGTTTTTACATTTTCAATTGTCATTTTAATTTTAGTTACGATTTTAGTAATTGTGTATTGGTTTTAGTATTTTGTGTAGTTTTGTCAATATATATATGTCTGTATAGTTTTTATTTCAGTTTTAGTTTTAATTGTTTTAGTAGGCCAATCGTTAAACTAAATTAAAATGAGAAATGTTGCCTTCTGTCAACTAGCTGGAATAAAAAAGTTTTTATATTTTATTTCAAGTAATAAAATATTTTTTTGTTTTAGTTAACTATAATAACCCTGCTTACTTCAATAGAAAAGGGGCATTTTCAATTTTATTTTATTATTCATATTTTTCTCTCTTTCTGTAGTACATTATATATATATTTATTTATTTATTTTAATTTTCTGTAAATTACAGCTCTCAAAAATAGTCAATATACTTGTCAATTAAAAGGAACTGTAATCAATCATTTTCACATTTCCGGGGTTCTCAGGAGAAGTTGTCAGAGTTGGGTAAACTTCTATAGTGGTGAGCGAAAACTACATCAAATATAATTATGTTCGCATTTGCTCCAATAGCAAAAGAAAAAATCCACAATAGTGTTTCTCTGACTTTCCAAATGATTACTTTGATCACGCTGGTCAGAAGTGAGAACGATGTCAATCACGCCACTCCCTCAGCCAGCAGCATTAACCAGTTTCCTGTAAGTTATAAAGTTGAGTTATAAAATGAAAAAAATTACAATATGAAAAACTAGATTTATGATGTTAATAACTGTAAACATGTCATCACAGTCTGTGCAAAGGGTCCACTGTGAAACAGCACATGTCCCAAGCCATAGTTCATAGTATATCATCTTCAGATGTCTGATTTGTGTCCTGTTTGTGTGATTCAGGTGGCGTGTCGCCTGACGAACGTGGTCTGGTATGGCGCTTTCTGTTTGGCATGTACCCCTGCAGCTCTACGGCTCTGGAGCGCCCCCTGCTGCTGGAGCAGATGGCGGTGCGCTATCAGGTCATGAAGAGGAAGTGGCAACATCTGCTTCCTGGAGCCGTTCGTCTGCGTCTTAATGGCACTGATGGTAAATGATATTTCTGAGCAGAACAAACACTTTTAATATGTAACGGTTAGCCCTTATGCTGGGTACACACCACAAGATAATCGGGCTGATTTTGGGCCGATTTTTCCCCTTCCAACAACCCTAGGTATTGTCCCGATTATCTTGGTTGTTCTAAAGATTATCTTTTCAGATTTTCCTGTGGTGTGAGGTGTGTTAAGAGTGACTGGATCTGCTCGGAAGAATGTCGGAGGCGCCCCGATCTCGAATCGATCAGAAATCCTGATGTGTGGGGGAAACCCCGAGGACACCACACACTATAGGAGCAAAACGGTTAAATCTAGGATTTTTTGTCCTCATGTTTGTGGTCTCTCACATGTTGAAGATCTTATAAGATTTTAAAAATATTTTAGTGTGTACCCAGCATTATCAACTCTTACTACCTGCAATAAAAATCAGTGTTGATATTGAAAACCTCTGGTGTATACATAACTAACTGTCATAACTGATGTTGAACTAATAATAAATAAATATTCTTTTCTCTCTGTTTCTGCCTGTTTTTGTTTTTTCAGCTGAACTGCTGACAGCAGTGAGGTTTTTTGAGCAGAGGCAGGACAGAGAGCAGAATAAACTGCAGTATGAGTCCAGAGAGAAGATGTCCTTTTTGCAACTGCAGGCTCAGGTAAATCTACCTGTTTAAAATGATAGTTCAGCCAAAAATGAAAATTCTGTGATTATTTACTCATCCCTCATGTTGTTCCAAATGTGTATGAGTGTATGACTTTCTTTCTTCTGTGGAACACAAAAGAAGATATATTGAAGAATGTTGGTAACCAAACAGTTTTGGTTCCCATTGACTTCCATAGTATGGACCAAAAAATAAATAAATACTATAAAAGTCAATGAGAACCAAAACTGTTTGGCACAATATCTTGTTTTGTGTTCCACTGAAGAAAGAAATGCATACAGTTTTGAAATTACACGAGGGTGGTTAGAGGAGCTAAAAAATAAAAGGGCTTTTGATTTTAAGTTTAAGTTATTACATAGAGAAAAATTCACAATAAGACCAAGAAAGTGTAATAAGAAGTTGGATCCATGTTGATTTCATGCTGACTTTAATGTGCAGGTGCTATTTGAACGGGTAACCTTTGACCTGGAAGAGCTTCAGGAGGCCATACGCATCATTGACAAAGATGTTCCACGAACAGACCGAGATCTTCCATACTACCGGTGAGAACTTGTTTAATTTGTGCATTTTAATATGCTAAATAAAGGAAATGCCAGTAATGGAATAGTGGAAAAGCACTTACGGTCACAATCCTTTTAGAACCTCTAAAAATAATCTATTTTTTAAATGTGTATATTGACAAATCCTTATGGTAAGTGGCAAGAGGGTGACGAAAATATATTTTGTTGGCTCTTATTGTTAACATATTGTTGTGACTTTTTATAACAATAAATGTGTTCATTATCCACCCTGCAGTCCTCATTTATGCCTGTTTAATTTCTTATGTCTGCTCATTTCCTTACAGGAAAGATTTCCTTGTTCCTTGTTCAGATTTCCGTTTAATTATTCATCTCTATGGCTACATAAATCATTTCTATCTTTATCTACAACCCATGTTGTTTTCTCTTTCAAACTTTCCTTTGTCAAATAGCAGAGTTCCTCAGTATTCTTCATTTCTGCTGAAGAAAGTAGAAAGTCAATTCGTTCTCATGTTCGTTTAAACAAACATCAAGGAGTTGCCTCATTTTTTGCATCACTAATGTGAGTTGCCAGCTCAAAGTAAACATGTCATTGCCACACCAATATATCAAACAACCTTGGAGCTCAACGTAAATAACACTCAGGAGTCTGTCTCATCATTTCACTGTGGTTAAACAGTAACTAGATTTGAGTACGGTCAACTCAGCTCACTTTGAAAGCATACTTCAGTATCCAAGTACATAGAGAATCCACAAAAAGAGCAGAAATGTATAAATATATAGTTCAGTCATGAAACTCTAGATGGCGCATTCTGACGGGGTGTTAACGTAACTGATGATATTCAGAGAGTTAAACGACTTGGCTCAAGCTGATTGGTTCATGCTGCATATGCAGCCAATGAGCTTACTGCCTTGCATTTATATGGCTGGCTAGCATTCACTTTAGATTCCTGCAGCGCGCTTTCAGAGTTCTCTGAAACCCTCCACCTTCCCCAGCTCCACCTGTACACTGCAATTATAGGCATGCAGAATAATTACTCATAAAACATAAAGACATTTAAAAAGTATAAATGATGTTTTAGAAGGAATATGGTCACGTAATGTTTTTCCTATTAAGGATTTTTTTTTATTATTAAAATAATCTCTCTTATACTATTACTCTTATTTAAAAGAACAAATGATAATTATATAAACTAATATAACATTAGCCTATTTTGCTGCTGCAACATCAAACACAAACTTTCTGCATACCAGTCATCTTTTTCCTGATAACAATAGACCAAATTTTAAAATACCAGCAGACATAAAATTATCAAATTTAATTTAATTTGAGTGTTTTAACTGAGTAAAAGCTAATTTGATTCAATCATACAGTGCATACCTGTATGATTGTACCAAAGTTGTTTTTACTTTGTTAAAATGCTCCTATTAAATTCAATCAGTCCTTTGAAGAATGAAGTATTGCCTGGAGAAAGACTTTCTAATCACTTGTGTTTCATCACAGGAATGAAGGTTCAGGTAACCTGCTTGTCTTGAGAGATATCCTAATCACATATGCTGCTTTTCACCCAGGTACGTGATTGTAAATACACTTTTTGGTCAGTAATTTTTGTTAAATAAATTAATACTTTAATTTAGCAAAGACACATTAAATAGTGTACAATAAAGATAAATGCTGTTCTTTTTTGTTATCAGGAATCATGAAAAAAAGAGATCACTTTATCACAAAGATATTAGGCAGTGCAACAGTTTTTATTATTGATAATAATAAGAAGAAGAAGAAATGTTTCTTGAGCAGCATATTAGAATGATTTCTGAAGGATCATATGACACTGAAGACTAAAGTAATGGCTGCTGATTTTAAATTCAAAATCCAGCTTTACCATCACAAGAATAAATTAAAATTTACAATATATTAAAATAGAAAAATATATATTTTTAATTGTAATAATTTTTCATAATATTATTGTTTTACCTTATTTTTTGAGCAAATTAATGCAGACATATTATGAAATCTAGCCGACCCCAAACTTTTTAACTGTAGTGTTTATTTACACTCTTTTATTAATCAGATTTTTGGGCGACATCTAGTGGTTAAACTGTGAAGCACTGTGTTTGCATATTCATTGTCTAACTTAATCATCAGTTTGTTTCTCTGGTCTCTGCAGAAGTAAGTTACGCTCAGGGAATGAATGATCTGTGCAGTCGCTTTCTGGAGGTGCTGGACTCAGAAGTGGACACTTACTGGAGCTTCTCCTGCTACATGGAGAAGTTTTCCAAAGACTTCCGTGCTGATGGACTGTATCGCAAAATGGGTGAGTTTCCTTTGTTTTTCCAAACTGTTTAGATCTGTTATTAGCACTAATAATTATACAGTTTCTCACTGGATCTATGGTCAAATGCTGTTTCTGTTGTGGTGTTTATCAGAGTTGGAAGCTGCTTTACTAAAAGAGCTGGATCCTCAGCTACACTCCCATCTGGTCACAGACAACATGGAAAAAATAACTTTTTGTCACAGGTGGGTTTTGGTTTTCTTTTTCTTCTCTTTCTGTCACTTTATAAATCTTTCTCTTGTCTTCCATTCAGGTGGCTTCTGTTGGGTTTCCAGCGGGAGTTTGAGCACAGCGATGCTCTGCGTCTGTTTGAGATTTTCAGCTGTGATCATCTGGAGCTCATCTCACAGCAGGTGGATCGGGCTCGATATCAGGAGAGACTGGCACGCAAATACAGCCTGGGTAAAGCTTTTTAATAAACCTTATTCCTAGGTCTTAAGCATTTAATGCCTTCCAGACACTGTTTATCATAGACACTAATATATTTCAAATGATTCTGATTTATGACTGTGATCTCCAGAGGATGAACCTGTGACGGAGCTCCAGGCCGTAAACACAGACTTCACTTTTGAACTCTTCATGTGTGCCACCATCTTGCTGGAGAACCGAGAAGCTTTACTCAGCTGCAGGAATGAAGCTCAGCTCATACAGTTTACCAGCAGGTGTGTGTGTGTGGTGTAGACTGGTTAGTAGATTGGTAGATTGGTATGTTTCATTGTAATGTAGAATACATTGATCTCTACAAGCAGGGTTATTATTGTTAACTAAAACTAAAACCATAACAAACCATTTCATTACTTGAAATAAACATGAACTGAAATAAAGTATTAAAAATAATTGCTGGTTTCTAAGGCAATATTTCTTATTTTTTTTGTTTAGTTTAGGTTATCTAAATTAAATGCTAAAACTTAATAAAAGCTATATACACATATTTAAAAATAATAATAATAAAAATGACAAACACACAACAAAATTACTAAAACTTTAACTAAAATTAAAGTTAAAACAGGAAATATACAAATAAATTCGAATTCAAAATATTAACAAAAACTATAATAGTACATCAATGATACTAAAATAACACTGTCTCCAGGCTGTGGTTTAGGATTTTTACCCAGTGTAGCCTGTCTGAAGACCTTGTATTTGTTGTTGTCTTGATATTTTATTTGTAGTAGTATGGACAAAGAATTCAACCAAGTGACTTATAGGAGCAAAAAAATAGGAGTTCATTTA